AGGGAGGGAGGGAGGGAGGGGGAGGGGAGGGGGAGGGGGGGAGGGGGGGGGGGTAAGGGGTTAGGGTTTAGGGGAGGGGGCGAGGGGGCGAGGAGGAGGTGGTGGTTTTAGTAGTGGTGGTGGTCGAGGTGGTAGTCGATGACGACGAGGAGTTGGCGAAGGTGGTAGCAGCGAAGGAAAAGGTGGAAGAGGACGAGCAGGAGCACGAGCAGTAGCAGTAGCATGCGTAGGAGCAGGAGCAGGAGAGAGCAGGAGGAGCAGGAGGGACAGAGCTGAAGCTTGTAGTTGAGGAGGAGGAGGAACGAAAGTTACGTAGCATCATGTCCAACTCCTTCAGGGCTGTCATGAACAGCCCGAAGTCCTCGTCCGGGGTCCAGCTGGTAGAAGAGACCTGCAGCGAGATGAGCTAAAGCCTGCCTCCTGCTCCTGCACCATCTCCACTTGCTACTGCTGCTGCTTCTGCTGCTTCTACTGTTGCGCCTTCTCCTCCCCCTCCTTCTTCTTCTTCGTCTTCTTCTTCTTCTTCTGCTTCTGCTTCTGCTTCTGCTGCTGCTGCTGCTAGTCCTCCCTGCCCTTCTCCCCCTCCTGCCCTCACTCCTGCTCACTCCCTCTCCCTCACCCTCGATCCACTTTGCAGCAACGCCTCACTCATCTACATCCTGCTTGCCTGGCTCTTGGCTCTCTAGCCCCAACTCCTGCCTTTCCCCCTCCTTCACTTTATCAGGGTCACAGATTTCCTACCACAAGCGCAGGACGATTTGGTCGAGGTGTTGGCTTCGGGGCTGGTCAAACGTGAGCAGGGGGGGCAAAGGGATGAAGCAGAGAGAAGAAGATGGAGGATGGAAAGAGAAGGAAAGGAGGAGCAGACGGGATAGATAGGAAAGGTAAAGGAGAATACAGATAGTAGGAGGGACAGGAGCACGAGCATGAGTAGAAGGGAGGCAATTACCTTCGTCGACTGGGTTGTAGAAGTCGCCGAGCTTCACAACTCCCTCCTGCTCCAACCTCTTGAACAGCTCGAACTTCTCAGCCTCCGTCTGCCTCCTGAAGTCTGGGGGGCATGCAGCCATCAGCGGAGGGCGGAGGAGAGGACCGGCACGTACGGGAAGGAGGCCGATCATAGAGGACGACAGCCTCGGGGATCCTCCAGCGGCTGGCGAGATCTTTCTTCATGGCCTCGGACACACAGAAGTGCCTGCAAGGGCCTCAACAGCCTCCCTCCCCGTTGCCTCCCTCCCTCCTCCCTCCCCGTTGCCTCCCTCCCTCCTCCCTTCTCGTTGCCTCCCTCCCTCCTCCCTCCCCGTTGCCTCCCTCCCTCCTCCCTCCCCGTTGCCTCCCTCCCTCCTCCCTCCCCGTTGCCTCCCTCCCTCCTCCCTCCTCCCTTGCTCATCTCCTATTCCTATTTCTCTACCCTCCCTTCTCCACGTATTTTCGCTTCAAATTGCTTCTTCCTTCTTCCTTGCTCCTTCCATCCTCCTCCTCTCTCTACCCGTCTGCGAGGCATCCCAGCGCCATCTCGTAGATCTTTGCAAGTAAGATAGCGATCTTCGGGGCCCCAGTCGTCTCCATGATGGTGTAGCCATAGTTGTGCCAGTCAACCACCTGCCCGCCATGTGAGGAGGAAGAGGACGGGAAGAGCAAGGAGGGAGGACAAGGAGCACAAGGAGGGCGGGAGGATATCAGAAGGAAGATAAGAGAGGAAAGGGAGACGAGGACAAGGAGGAGGAGGAGGAGGACAAGGACAAGGACAAGGAGGAGGACAAGGACGAGGACGAGGACAAGGAGGAGGAGGAGGGAGGAGGGAGGAGGAGGAGGAGGACAAGGAGGAGGTGGAGGAGGAAAGGAGAAGGAGAAGGAGGAGGAGAAGGACGAGGACGAGGACGAGGACGAGGACGAGGACGAAGACGCGATGGGTGTGGGGTGAAGCGGGAACGCACCAGAGCTGCGTCACAGCAGAACCAAGAAAAGAAACGCGCCACCTGAGCAGGGGAGTAAGGGGAATGTGAGGGCAGCAGGCGAGCAATGGGAGGCACCAGGAGCGTGGGGATGCTGGGAGGGTTCTGCAGTAGGACGACACTTTTTGATCCTCCTCGCATCATGCATGCCAGGAGCGCAAACGCTCTGCTCGACAAGTCAGGCCGATCATCGCTACAGGACCTCCCCTTCCACTTCCTCCATGGAGAGTGAGTGGGAGGGGGGGGGGGAGGGGGGGGGGAGAGCACGGAGGAGGGAGGGTGGGATGCAGCGGCAAGAGAAGAGTGGACGAGGAAGGAGGATGGGACCTAGAGATAGCGGCAAGAGGAGCAAGGAGAATGTAGAGAATCTTGGGTCTCCTTGGAAGTTTCCATGGCGTCGGGATGGCTGTGACAGAAATTCTCTCGTGCTGCTGCAGGTGCAGGGGAAGCTGCGACTGCGAGTGCGGCATAACGAAGAATGATAAGAGAGGAGGGAGGAGGGAGGAGGGAGGAGGGAGGAGGGAGGAGGGAGGGAGGAAGAGGCAGGAGGGAGGGAGGAGGGAGGAGGGAGGTGCAAGGTGTAGGGTCAACAGACCCCAGGGGAGCCCCTCACCTCCACGTAGCCGACCAGGAAGACGTCATACCCCGAGCCTGCAAGGCACATCGCGTGATTCATCATCCTAGGGCTCCTGGCAATGTCCCCCAGGACGACGACGGCTACAGTCTTGCTCTTCCTCTGTCCGCTCCTCTTGACCATCGCGCGGATGAAGAGGAGGAAGAGGAGGAGGCAGATCAACCCGAAAAGAGAGGCCTATGCTCACCGACCGTCATGGAGCGCGAGTACCAGCGCCGCGAGTACAGCAGGAGGGATATCATCAGGAGCAGACGCAGGAGCAAGAGTCCAGGAAAGTAGAGGGCATATGATCAAGAGGGGAGGGAGCAACCAGTGGAGCTCGGGAGTAGAGAAAGACGAAGGCGGGAGGAGAAGAGAGGAGGTAAGGAAAGTCGGGAGCAGAGGAGCCAGGGAGGGTCAAGGAGCACCTGCAGTAATGCTGTCCATTCTCGTTGTAACGCAAACTGGAGGAGCGACTTGATGAAACCAGCAGGTATCCCCAGACATGCGCCGAGAAACAGAGCTCGCAGCGAAGAGATCAGGAGCAGGCGCAGTAGCCCTCCCCTCTCCTCCCCTCCCCTCTCCACCGGCCTCGCTCTGGATGCTGACGACGGCGCCATGGGGCAGAGAAGGTGGTCTGACTTCTACTCAGGTATCGCTCCTTCTAACAACCTCCTGAACCTGCGGTACAATACTCAGATCGAAGTTTCCTCCCGTCTGAAACACGCTATCTAACATCTACTTTCCATGGTCCCGATTTCTCCTCCTCTCCTCCTCTCTCCCGCCCTCCCTTCCCCC